AAAAACTTGCAAAATTTTATGCTGAGTTTCTACTCAAATGAATTTCTTAAATCATACAATAAACAATGAACCTTGTGAGACAAAATACAGTAGTTGTTAAATTAACCTAAATCTGTGCTCACCTACCATCACTCTGTCCTTCTACATCTGTTTCTACCACCCTGGCCCCTGCAGTTCCTCATTTATACCAAAAAACATTCCCCGGACACTCGTGGAGAATATTTAGCCACCAAACACCACTATGGCTCTACCAGCTTAAAGCTGGCATCTGTTTTCATAGAGTAGTATTCATGTTGTACTGACTGACAAGTACTTTGAGATTAGCACTGCATATAACCACACAGAAATTCCTTGGTCTGGTTCATATTTCCCCTCAAAATTCATTAGGAGACCTTCTGTGATCACAATGTTTTAAGAAAGCAGCTCTCCCCTATGCACACATCACAAAACCCCCCACCCTTGTCATCAGGCTCAGGTCATTACCTCCCTGACCTGTGTCATTTCACAGCATGTACTGCGCTCTGCTGTAATACAGAACACTGCCTAGCACAGAGTGGGTGTTAAGTAAACATTTGCTAAAGAAATAAATACTAAATCATATATATTTATTATCAACCACCTTTTCATGATAATTTTAAATTATTTTAATAATTTAGTTAAATAATTTTAAGGAAGTAGGCACATGGATGTAGATTTAAGGAAAACATGTTAAATGAATTAACATGTTAAAAACATGTTAACTGAATGTTAAATCAAAAAGGACTTAAACATCAAAAATTGTAACAGGAACTTCTATAAAAGGAAAATCATTAAACAGTAAAATTGGGAGAAGCAATTCCTCAGTATAAAGTAAAACAGTCTTTAAGAGATGTTAAACTAAAATACATAAACAGAGTACCTAATGAAAAGTATAGCTTTCCTCTTAGGTTTTATGTACATGTGTTTGATCATGAATGCTGTTGCCACTCACCTGTCTCCTTACTACTAGCTAGTAATTTCAGCCACAGAAAGATTTACTCTCCTCTAGAAAAATCTGCTTCTAATATTCTGGTAACCTACACCAAATTCTGATAAGAAGCCAGGTACTTGATTCAAGCGGGCAGGCAAACCCTTTGTCTAAGATTCAGCTCAATGGCTCACTGCCTAACTCCCCTGAATTTAATCATGAACTTTAATTTCCATTCAGAAAGAAATTTCTTTTAAAAAAACAGCTAAATCTGAAGAAATATTAAATGTAACAAGTCAAATAACCTATCAAGGCATGATTTAATCATTAAATGTTAATCATTAAATGTTAAAGTTGAACTAGATCAAATGTTAATTATTAAATGTTAAAGGTGAGTGAGATGTCTTTCTAACCTAAAATATAACCTAGGTATGTTTTATGAAGTCTTACATTTTACCCAAAATCCCAGATCTCCAACACAATATTACTGTTTAATGATTTTCCTTTTATAAAATCTTATAGTACAGTTTTTGATATGTTAAAATCTTTTTCCATTTAACATTTTATGGAATCAAGGACACTTCATTTCCCTTGAACCCACATCCATGTTCCTTAAAAGAAAGTTTATTCTGGTCTCTAAAGACTAGACTCTACAATCTGGACAGACAGTGGTTAAGAACATGAGCTCAAACCTTAGCTCTGAATCCTATTGGTTGTCTTATCTTGTGCAGGTCATCTGTCATATTAAGCTTCAGCCCCTCATTTGTAATGGTGTATGGTGTTAATAACAATAACATTGTATTGGATTAATAGGAATACTTCATAGGAGTATATAAGGATTAAATGAAATGATGCATACAAAAAGCTCAGCAAGTACCTGGCTTATAGCAATTGCTCAATGAGTCCAATTTGTGAAAAAATATTTGCTGAACAGCTACCATGAGTCAACAATGTTCTAGGTACTGGGATAAGGCTGCACTAATTGTGAAGTGTAATTCTGGTCCTTATAAAACTTACATTTTACTTGGAGGACACAGACAACTAAAATATATAATATAATGTCAGGTAAACAACAGAGGGAAATGAAAAAAAGGAAAGAGGGAATATAAGAGGTGAAGTATCACTGCACGCATGATAGAAAAGGCTTGTCTGATGGAGTAACATTTGAACAGAAACTAAACCAAGTAAAGAACAGGTCATGTGCATATCCTACATGTTGCTAATATAAGGATGAGGATTATGGGTGATCAGTCACCCCTGTTTATAACAATACCTTTCATTTACACAGACCTTGGGAGACAGTATGGGAGAAAGCAGCCAGTGGAGGGTAAGAGATGAGTGTCTTGGGCACCACTGGCTTTATTACCATGAGAAAGTTAAATTATTTCTCTAGCTCTAGACTATCTAGTCACCTATACCTCTAAAGATAAGAAATAGACTACTTTTGCCGCTGTGTCTTCCAGTTAGGCATTAGGATGATATATTTATATTTTTATGGATAAGGAAGAAATAAATGAAAAGAGTCTTAGAAGTAAGTTGCTATAAACAGAAATTATATTGAGGCCAAAATAGCATTCTTTATGAAGGCTACAAATGAAGTCTGGCAAGATGAAAATTTGATGTTTTACAGCACATATTATGGTCAAAGACATTAACTTCTTACACAAATTAAATCAAGAAACAGATTCCAATTATAAGAGTACAAATGACTTCACAAAGGAAGATACATAACAGATAATATGACCATAATAAAATCCATATCAGTTTGTACTCTGCTCATAATTGAAAATTATCTAACTTTCACAACCTCTGCTTTGTGAAAGAGTAACAGGATTCTTTAAATCAAGTGCACAACAATATTTACAACAGAGATAATGATTTGCATATTTCAAATATCAGTACTTTAGATCAGGTTAATAGCTGTATAAACTTTAAATTTCCACCTCATAAAACAATCATACATAGTGCCTTAATCTTCTATAGCTTTTAGTTTACAGTCATTTTCACAGCCAGTACTATAACATGACGAGATAATCAGCTCCACAGCCAGAACTGGGCATTTAGAAAAAAGAGAATCACTGGCTGTGAAACAATCCAGAGAATCTACTCCATTTAACTCAACTCATGTCATGAAAATGTTATATAGTGAGAGATGCAACTTTATTTGAAGTCATATATTCCCACTCAAGACCGGATCTTCATTTTTATGTGCCTCTATTATGGCTTTGGTCTCTCAAATTAGACCTGGCTAGGCAAGTAGACAATGCAAATGTTTGGTTGGTGTGTGAAACAGGAAACCAGTATCTATAAAGACCCACTTGTTAACATGGCAAAAAGTATCTTCACTACACTGAATTTTATTTCATACTGAGATATACAGGAATTGAAATTCATACTTTCACATGCACACAAGTATACAAAACTCCTGGCACTTAAAGTACTGGAGGGAGGGTGGTGGTGAAGAAAAAATGTCAAAGTTGTCGCCTACATTTATGGTTTGATCAGTTGGGTATTTGTTGATACCACTTACTGAGAAAGGAAGAACACATTTTGGAGTTAAAGGTGATAAACTCAGTTTTAGGTGAAAAGCTGAAAAATATTAGTTTTGGGAAATACGTAAATTTGAACTAGAAATATAAATGTGCAAGTGACTGATGTAAAAATCGTAAATGAAACCACGGGAATACATTACCTTAACTAAAATTTCCCAAGGCATTAGCTGCTACTCACTGATGGAAGAGAACACACTGATAGACTTTTTTTTAACTAGAGAAAAAATGTGACAAACTAGTCCAGACTAAACAAGAATTTTTATAGGGTATTCTGCAATGAAAAAATGTGACAAAGGGAGGGTATTCTGCAATGAAAATGTAAAATACTAACAAATTATAAATACTAATGCATAATTCTAGACCATGCAAGACAGTCAATGCCTTAGCCACAGAATTAGTGTTTAGCAACTGTCATTCTTCCGTGAGACGAATTTTTAAACTCAGCCTGCAAGTGAAGACTGAGTAATGACATCCAAGGACAAATATGAACATTCTGTTCCAGACTACCAAACGAAAGTATAACAATTGTCTTCTATATTTCCTTAGCTCAGTCTGGATTATACACTTGAATTCTTGGGAGTAACACTTAGTTCATATTAAAAGTTACCCTTAAGCCCTGGCTGGTGTAGCTCAGTGGATGGTACGTGCGGCCGAAGACATACATGATATTTTCCCTCTCTCCTTCCTCTGCTTCATATATAACAATCAAATTAGAAAAGATTAGCCTTCCAGGTTTATCACGTCCTTATTTCCACACTGTTCTTCCTAGTAGACAGCACCCAAAGGAAAGGGCTCTTGCCAACCCCAACCCACTTCCTGGAACATCGGAAGTACTTAGAAGCTGACCAGCTCCACCGTACTACTTTGGTCCAGACCCCACAGGTCTTAAATGCACAAACCTTCCTCATTCCTTACCTCACAAATCTCTTAAATCCATGAAAGTAGTGTGCCCTGTGATAGATTTCAGAGGTCAAAATGACCTAGAACAATCTCTTAATTCAGCTACCAGGCTTCACATAGACAAGTGATAACTTACTGTCTTTGAGAAGAGTAAATTAGTTTTAAAAGTTCCAATGTCTTATATATTATAAATATACATTATAAACTTAATGCCCAAAATTAAAATTCTGATTTACTCATGATTTTTGGACATTTTCTTTTATTTATATCTTAGAATATTTTATGAACTGAACATTTTCAAAGACTGAACCTAATAAAGTCAAGTCTCAAATCTTTCAAAAAAAAACTGGGAGTAAAAAAAGCTAGGCCATTTGTAGCCTAGCAAACATTGAATAAAAAGGCAACCCATCTTAATAAAACCAAGGAAAATGCTTCAATTCTACTTGTATGACTAGTAATCACAAAGCCCTTTTATTTCCAAACTTGTATAAATAATCTAGGAACTTTATTTAATGTGGAAAATGTTAACTCACAAAGAATTCTTTAAAAACAAACAAAAAAAGTGTGTGTATATATATATATATGTATATATATGCACCTACCTTAGGAATAGGATTCAGCAGCACTACACCTGATTTCTTAGTGATGACCTGTTTTGTTGTATAGTGATGATCTATAAGTTGAGGAATGTTTGCAAAACCAGTGCCTTCAAATCGATACAAACTCTGGAGAAAGAACAATAAAGTAGAATAAATATAAAGTCATTGCTTCAGCATGACTGCACTCATCATCAAAACATTAAGTTCCATTTGAGTTCTGTTGAAAAATTATTCTTGCACAATGTGTGAATACACTTAACACTTCTGAAGTACATATTTAGAAATGGATAAAAGTAAACTATGTGAGGTAATGAATATGTTAATTATCTTGGTCTTGGTATTCATTCGACAATGCATATCAACCAATTACATTGTGTACTTTAAATATATACAATTATATCTGTCGATTATTTCTCAGTAAAGTTAAATGTATGTATGTATACTGTTTCTCCCTTTGCCTTCCTTCAGCCAGGGGATGAAAATTCTTATTTCCTTCAGAATAAAAGCCAAAGTCTTTACCATGGTCTATAAAACTCTGTATGATCTGTGCTCTATTCTCTCTCTTACCACTACCTAGTTCCACTACAGTCACCTCATTTCTGTCTTGTTTTATAAATGTACTACCATACGCATTCCTTCCTTAGGATGACTACATTTGTTAAAATACTTCATCAGATGCCCATATGGGTTATGGCTCCCTTACTTAATGCCAGTGTTTCATCAAATGTTCCTTTTTCAGTTAGCTCTACTCTGGTCACCCTACACAACACTCATTATCCATTTTCTCATCCCAGCTATTTTCCTTACCTCCTTTTTCTTACTGAATTATCCTCCTTAGAATTTATCACTATCCAATACCATATATATTTCAGTTACTTATTCTATTTATTGTCTATCTCCTTCTCTTCTAAAATCAGAGCACATGGGGTGATACATTTTTACATTTATTTTGCTTATCACAATATCCCCATGGTCTAGAACAGTGCCTGGCATATATTGACTGGATAAATAGGTGTGACTGAATGAAATGCAATGCATATAAAATGATTAAATTAAAGCAACAAGTAAAACAACCTAATGTAGAAATGAATACTGGGAAGTTCATAATCTCACATAAATTGAAGACACTGAAGTACAATGCTTCATAAAAGGTAAGTAATGAGATGAAGCCCACACAGAATTAAATTTCAAATCAGATACTAGTGTTATAATGTCTTATATAAACTTCTAATGTACCTCATATAAGTAGAAAGACACTAAACAAAATAATGGTGATTTTTCAGTTTCCTTCTCTTAATTTAAGAATGTATCTAGCTTTTCACTGAAAGGCAGTTTTCTGCCGTTGGACATAGTAATGGTGCTGGACCGATACAGTGAGTAATACAGGCAGTAGTACTTCCTTCATGGGTTGAAATAAGAAACTGATCCATAGCAATTATTTTTAAAGCAATCCGAAGTTCTGAGTCTGAACACAGTGCAAACCATAAAACTCACTTTCTTAAAGATGAAAATAATGAATTTAAAAATGATGTTAAGACTGTTTGCTTATCAAGCAACTAAAAGGTCAAGAGTAGTATAGTCATTGAAACTCTTGAGGCCCTGGCTGGCATAGTTCAGTGGATTGAGTGCAGGCTGTGAACCAAAGGGTCAACAGTTCGATTGCCAGTCAGTGCACATGCGTGGGTTGTGGGCCAGGTCCCCAGTGGGGGCCACATGAGAGGCAACCACACATTGATGTTTCTCTCTCTCTTTCTCCCTCCCTTCCCTTCTGTCTAAAAATAAATAAATAAATCTTTTTAAAAAATTGTTGAGGACTTGTTTCTTGATACAAAGTTCTGAATATTATATTTGACCTTCAATATCTGTATAAATTTCTTATAGCTCAGATAACCTGAGGTTGGGATCGCATGCAGAAGGATTTTTTTAAACATTTTTCTACATGTTTTAACAATAACATGACTGTGAGAATTCAGACCAACTTTCAAATAAGAGACTTCTCTTTGAATAAGATTGTTTCTAATGATCTCTTATATGAATTCCAAAAGAAGCAATAAAAAATTGTAGTATAAAGTAAACGTCTACAAAGATCATTTTGTTGTTTGTTGTATATCATAAATATCACATAATATGTCATTTAAAAAATAAGAAGTATAAATAGAAACACACGACTCAATTTTATAAAATAAAAATTATACAGATATATGTATAATTAAATTACACTTTTTGACTTTTCAAAGACTATACACAAAAGCCATAAGGGGACTGCTATTATGAAGCACACATTCCATGACACATATTTTGAATTTCTGTCAAGAGTATGTATCACTTCCATTTTAAAAACATTTACTACAGCTAGAATTCCTGAGTTATCACTGTGCTACTTAAGAATCATTCACACATATAGGTAAAAAACACATAAAAACAGATTTTACTACTGTACATATTTTGAAAAGACTGCAGTTAAGAAAGTCAAACAGAACAGAATAAGCACACAGAAATGAGAAGGGGATTCAATGTTTGAAGTTGCCTCAGTTGATCTGAAGTAAAACCAAGAATAAGCAGGCATGAGAAAAAATATATAAAAAAAGAAAAAATTATTTCTGAAGAAGGCTGAGATGAATAAGTGGAATAAAAAAAACAAAGGGCTGAATAAAAAACAAAATACTGAGACACTCCTATTTTGGGGGCAAAATACCTAAAAATTAAAAACATAAACTTTTAGCTTTCTCAAATAAAAATGGCATATTGAATAGTTATAAATAACTAATTAAACCAGTACACAAGAAGAATTTGCGAGAGCTTGCGGAATAATATTAGTAAGGGTTGGTATGGCTTTTCCTAGTTAACTTTTGTTCATATCCAAATAGCACTGCAACCTTAACTACCTTAACTTTCCCATTTAAAAGCTTTCACAGCACTGTGCATCTTTACAGAACTTACTATAGTTTACAATTATATACAGTGTGTTTTTATGAATGACTATGGGCATCCTTCTCAGACTGTAAGCTCCATTATATTCCTGGGCCTTAAGAACACTCACTACATTAGTGTTTCCTGGAAATTAACAATAATAAGGTTTTGAAATGGCTTTATTTTATTGTTAAGGAAGTTTCCTAAGTCTGTGCATCAGTGGCAAAGAAAATGGTATATTAATGACAGTGTTATTTTGACTACAAGGTACTTATTGCCTTCCTTTGAGTCCTTAAATGGTTGGAGTGGAATGGTTAAATAATCCTAAGTACACAATAATAACTGTCATCCAAACAAGTTTTGGATTTCTACTTGCTTTCACTTAGTCTTCCAAAAATCCCCAGGCATGAATTTAAAGGTAGTTCAAAGAGCCTGAGATTGTGGCAACAAAACAAAATATATAAACCTAATGGGTACATTCTGAGACAAATCCATCAGCTTCAAAGTGGAATTTAGCACACAATAGAAATCCAATAAATATCTATTGAATGAATGATATTTTAATGCACTGAACTAGTCTCAAATATCATATAGTAATTATAACCTCTCCTTTTGTATTATGGTTGTTACTGGCCCACATTCCTAGGTCTTACATAGTACTTGCTCAAATAATATTTCCTGAATGCATGAAAGAAGAGATGATATAGCATTACATAGAGGTTTTCCCATTTTATTTAAAAATATTATGCTTTTATTTTTAATTCATCACCATAGGTTATTTCAAAATTCTTGGCTCAACCATTCCTAATTCTGTATCTTTAGTATCTCTCCATTTATAAATTCTACTAATGTCTCACACCTAGTAGGTTTTAAGGCCACTGAGAAGTAGGCCACACACTTTTTTGTTTCATCTCCTTACAAAGCATAACATGGTATTTTGTAAAAATGAGCATTTAGATAAACACTTACTTGTCAGATAAACAAATTAGAAAACTATGACTTGGCACTTTCCTATAATAGCATCAGTTTTTTTCTAGAGTACTTCTGTTTTAGCATATGTATTTTATGTTTTATCATATACAAAAGCAAAGATCTGATAAATATATATTTACTTATCACATACAACAAAGCTATTTAAATCTCTGTGAAAATCTATTATCATTTTATGACACAAAATAAACAGTTTTAGATACAAACTCTAAATATCACTTTGTATCAAGTACCATAAATAGAACAGTAACTATGGAACAGATCAGTAACACTAGAAATACACTTAGATTTAGATATTCTAAGATATGTTTAGTATATCTGGCTTTATAAAATTAATGTTTAATGCCCAATAAAAAGGTACAATTCTTCTTGTGTGAACCAACAAAAACAACAGATATTCTCTGCTAGAGTAGTAAAAATGTAAAACCTGAAAGTATGTCCATCTTGATCAGTTATAATGACAGAGTTTCACACCATGTTAAATGACTATGATATGCATAAAAAAATAAAGCTTTAAAACAACCTCCACATGAGACTTTAGTTGACAGAGGCACTATTGCTAAAAATAACATTGTTCATGATCGTTGAATATCTTAAACCTAAATACAGGCATCCCTCAAAGAACATGCAGGTTTGGTTCCAAATCACCACAATAAAGTGAGTATATATATAAATTCTAAAACACTTTCATTACTATTTAAATTTCATAAATAAATCTCATAGAAACAAAAAATTGAGTTAACTTTTTCAATTATATTAATATTTCCAAGTAATATTTGTATTTTCTCTCAAGTCATCAAACAGCAATAAAAATACCTAATGTTTGCATAGCACTCCACACCTACAAAGTATATATTCAGTAAATTGATTCTCACAATCACTATATAAACTATTACCTCCATTATATCCAAAGGCACAGAGCTTACAAAGTGAAGAGCTGGGACTGGAATCCAAGTCTTCCCATTCTAATGCTTTCTTCATTGAACAACTGCTTGATATTTATACATTCTCTAAAATCCCATATTTCTTTATGTCTTCCTCTCTTAGGACACCTAACTCCCCATTTATATACAGATTTTATAATCTACTATTATATTATACAGTCTTTGATTAAAATATAATAGGAAGTCATTCAGTATCTGGTAATGTATTCCCCCATTTATTGACCCACTTTGAGAAAAGAAATGGATCATTTTAGCTCACAGAAGATTCACCTATACATATGA